CTCACCCCTTCCGCCTCGTCAGACCTCCCTCATCCGCGCTCCCTTCCCGTTCCCCGTTCATGCACAGGTGCCCTCGCAACAGTTTGATGTTCCGTCGTTTGCCAGCACCTTCGCGCGTGACGAAATCATCAATCCTTCCCCACTCATGCGCACAAGCGCGCAGGCGCATCGGGCGAACGCGGTGTCACCAGGCACCAAGGACATCAGAAAAACGAGCCGATCGCCCGCCCAGGCTACATACCGAATACACATGCATACGTATATAAGTCCGGTTTGGGGGAGGCGGCGGTGCGGAAGCACACAGGACAGGGGGCCTCCAGAGGGCCCCATCCTTTTTCACATGGCCATAGCGCTTTGACTTGGATCCGAGAGGCCCTCGACTCCACTCTCCGCGCCTCATCGCGCTTGGCCAGGGACCCAGACGGTCGACCCAAGAATGGTCGGCACAGCGGCGTTCCGGGCAGCGATCTGAGGGAGTCGAGGCCGCTCGATCCTCGCGGCTCTTGCAAGGGAAAAACAATCGCCAAGGGTGGAAGCGGGCGGGCAACAGCGACTGCCATGCAATCTCTCCCACGGCCATGCCTGACTCCGCACCCAGGTTCCCCCTCCCCCGACTTGTCTACCGCAAGCGTTTATATAAGCGCGGTTGGGGGGGGCGGCGGCGCGGAAGCACACAGGACAGGGGGCCTCCAGAGGGCCCCGTCCTTTTTCACATGGCCATAGCACTTTGACTTGGATCCGAGAGGCCCTCGACTCCACTCTCCGCGCCTCATCGCGCTTGGCCAGGGACCCAGGTCGGCACAGCGGCGTTCTGGGCAGCGATCTGAGGGAGTCGAGGCCGCTCGATGCTTCCCACCCGCCCCACCCTGGCTATTTAGCAGAATTCTACTGTACTTCGAGAGACAAAGGAAGACGCAGAATGGTCCATCCACTTCTGAGTTTCGCCTCTGAACTGCATCTCTGCTACGATGGCGGCACCGTCTTCGATACATATATATATATGTATATTGGATGTCCTGGTGGAGCTCCATCACCGACACAGCATCAAACGCTCTAGATTCTTCGAAGCTAGATACTCGCGCGCGGCCCCACCCCGACGGAGGCTGCACGGAGTGAGGCGTGCGCGGCGGCAGCCAACACCTGCAGCAGCTCGCTCGAAAGCGGCTGGGAGCGCACCGCTCCAAAGTTTGTCGGCAGGGCCCAGCGACAGTGCACGATGATTCCAGGCCCCCATGTAGGGATCGTCGACGGCGACGGTCTCCCGGGCGCCTTTCTGGGTAGCAGTTTTGGTCCAAGGGAGACTCACAACCCCCCGGCCCTGGGGGCCGATCTGGACCAGGGCCCGGTTCGAACCCAGGATTTCATCTGTTCTCGGGCACAGGTGGAAGCCTCCGAGGATGCAGGCGGCCAGGGCGAACTCATTGCGCTCGAGCGCCCAGCCGGCCATTGCGGCTGCGACGCGAGCAACCATCGGAGGCGCTCGGCTTGGCACCTCGAGGCGCGACCACACCGAGAGGAGGCGCCATGCCCCGGGGCATTGGCGGCGCGAGCGCAGAAAATGTTGCACCCCAGACAAAGTGTCATTCTCCTGCCCCTACGAGGCTCCGATGCTCCAGAGATGCTCAAGATAATCCTGGAGGCAGAAATCCAGATCGTCCCACGTGACTGGCAAAGAGAGCTGCATAGCACTCAAAACCTCGACACACTGCTGGCACGCGCGCGGATACCTGTTGCGTGTTCTAGCATTCACACGCGCGTCGGCCAGACGGCCAAGAGCAGCTCGGGCAGCACGCCTCCCATCGGGCGAAGTGCGCTTACCCATTGGGAAAGCGGGACGGCGCGCCCGCAGGGTTCCTTGCCGACGAGGTGAAGGCAAAGGCCGCCCGCGAGCCGAGCGCCAGCTCCAGGATGGAGCAGGCGCGCACTACCTTGTTGAGCGGCTGGCTCGAAGACCGGCGCTCGGCAAGCGCACCGATGTTGACCATGCTGTCGAGCGAGCGCAGGAAGACGCACATCTGTCGCGAGACCGACCGGGCCCGCCACCGCAGGGCCATCAGCGCCGCCTCGCACTCCAACACATTGATGTGATTGGCCTGGTCTTGCCAAACGAGCTGGCGAGCGACCTTCCACTTCCAAATGCCAGCATCGATCTCTTGCCGCGGGAACATCTTGCCATACGTCTCTGCGTTCTGCGTCCGTGTCCACCCGAGGGTCAGCGCCCGAGTGGTGGCACGTCATCACCAGCGAGGCCACCACCCTCTGGTGCTCAAGCAAGGGCCGCGAGCACCCCCTGCCGCGCTGCTCCAGCTCCGCCAGCAGGACGTCCGCGTGGCAGGGCTGCCTCGAGGGGCAGCGGCAGAGCAGCCGAGCTCCCTCCAGTTCCTCCAGCTGGTCCAGGAGCTCGGGCTGGGAGCGCAGCCAGCCCGCGAACAGCGCCACCGGGTCGCCGGCCGGCCGCCCCGGCACCACGGGGCACGGGTTGCCCCACTTGGAGGGGCCGAGCCCCCAGCGGCGCGAGCCGCGGCCGACGTAGATGGCGCGCACCTACGGCCAAGCGCCCGCCGAGGGCGCGCGCCCAGCCTCCGCCGCCGGGGAAGCCGCCGCAGGCGGCGCGGCGGCGTCAGGGGAACCCGCCTCGGAGCCGGCGCTCAGCCCCGGCAGGCCCCCCTTCGCCTCGGCGCCCCAGCACCCGCGCGGGCGGCCAGCGGCTTCCCCATCAGGTGCAGGTTCTCCTCGCACACGGCCTCGCGCCCGCACCGCAGCGTCTCCACGTCGCCGGCCCAGAGCTTGCGGCCCATCGACCAGCTCCTCGAGCTCTCGCAGAGGCTCCGAAGGGACGGCACCGCCACCAGCAGCGAGCGGTGCACTGCCCAGTGGCTCAGCAACCAGGCCGCGACCACGCACTGGAACGAGTTCCCCACGAGCGACCGCCGGAGGGCCTCGTAGCGCTCGGGGTGGCTCTTGGCGGCAGAGCTGCTCACGCAGGGCACCGCGTGGCCTCGCCCGAAGCCCATCAGCACCTCGCGATCCCCTGCCCGCGGCGGCTCCTTCCGCCCATCCGCCCAACGCAGGCAGAAGCAATCCCGAAACTGATGGGGGGGCCGCGTAGCCCGCTGCCGTCCAGCGCGCCACCTCCTTCGGCGTGCACTCGCGAAGCCCGGCTGGCCGCGGCCGGGGCGAGCTCCGCGGCGCCCAGCGCACAAAAGTTGGCAGGCGGCCGCCTTCAGCGGCCCTGGGCCAGGAGGCCCCGCGCGGCAGCCACTCAGAGACGGGCGGCAGCTCCGTCACCAGCCGCACTCGGCAGGCCCGCGGCCGGGCCCCATCCGCCGCCGCCTTCATCTCGGCCGCCATCTCGAAGGAGGGCAGCAGGTCCCACGACATCCATTACAGCCGCGGGCGGCGGACCCAGCCCAGGTCCGCGGCGTCGAGGGACACCGGCACTCGGCCGAACATCTTGTTCAAGGCCAAGACCTCGTCCTCCGCCATGGACGCCGCGTTCCCCCCGAGGAAGTCCACCGTGGCCTCGAGCAGCTCGCGCTTCAGCCCCTCGATGAGCCTCCACATGTGGCCCACCAGCTGCGACCTCGGGTCCGCGCTCCCCTTGCGGGCTACGTCCATGACCGCATGGCCCTGGCAGGGGAACCCCCCGATCACGATCACCTTCGCGATGCGGCCTTGGCCCCTCAGGAGGCGCGCCAGGCGCGCCGGATCCGCAGCCGCGACGCTCCCCAGGTGCACGGTGCTGGGAAACGCCCGCCGAGCCACGCGCACGGCCTCGGCGTCCACCTCGAACGAGAGGAGCGCCGCCGGGACGAGCCCCGGGATCTCGAAGGCCCGGCGCGCGCTGTCGATCCCCGAGAAAACGGAGATCAGCGCGACGGCCTCCTCGCAGGCCGGATTGAGGGGCCGCGGGCCCCTGGCGCCAAGGGCGCGGCCCATGTCCGACAGCCCCTGGGAGTGAACGATCGCCCCCGCGGCCTCCGAGGCGTCGGACGCCGTCACGAGGTGGTCGACGGTCAGCCGCATGTCCGCCACGCTGAGCGGCGCGAGCGCGGCCGCGATCAACAGGTCCTCGGCGACGCCCAGGGTGATGAGCCCGCCCGACCGGCCCGACGCCAGCCACTTCCAGGCGTTCACGAAGGCGGCGGCGAGCGGCCTCCGGTAGCACTGCACGCGGACCCAGCGCCCCAGCAGGATCTGCGCCAGCCGCCTGCTCGGGCGCCTCTTCGCCAGGAACCACAGCGTCAGGATCGTGAGCTCCGCGACGTACCCCGGCGGCGGCCGGCGCACCCTGGCCTCGCCATCCGCGAGGTCCCCCAAAGTGGAGACCTGCCGGGCGCGGTGGACGTCCTTGCCCGGCGATCTGGGAGACTTAGCCCGCTCGTAGCAGGCCGACGCCTGGCTCAGCAGCTCAGGGATGCTGCCCTTCAGCTTCACGGCCTCCTCCCTCGAGACGATCTCCGCGGTCGCGAGGTTGTCGATGTAGATGACCCACATCGCGACCCCGCTTGCCTGGGCCTCCGCGGGCAGGCGGCGGGCGCGCACCACCTCGGCCGCAGGCGGCAGCCCGCGGGGGACCGAGGCCGACCGCCTCAGCATGATGCGGTGGAGGTGCGTCGTCACCCCGACCGCGCTGATCCAGCCCATGCCGATGACCCCCAGGGCGATGCGAGTCAGCCCGTCGCCGCTGCCGCCCACCAGTCGCCGCGGCACCGAAGGCCCCAGCGCCGCGCACGGCCGCCAGGCCGGGGGCGCCTGGAAGACGTAGAAGAACGCCTTGCGGCCCGCGCCGCTCCAGGGCAGCTGCTCCCCTGGCGCCAGCACCAGCCCGTTCAGCTGCCCCATCGTCGGCACGACGGGGGCGTCCCCCGCGATGGTGCGCTGGCACGCGTTCGCGGGGATCAGGTTGACGATGAGCTGCAGGACGGGCCGCCCCTCGCCGTCGCTGCAGCGGACCGGCGCGTCGTGCACCTTCGCCCCGCCGAAGGCCCCGTTAATCAAGGGGGCCCCGTCTCCGGCCGCGATCTCGGCATCGTCGATGGGGCCGACCATCCCGCGAGCAAACAGGGCGCTCACCACCAGCTCCCACTCCTGCGACGTCGCCCAGACGCGCGTCGTCGAGGTGGGCGCGGGGCGCCTCTGCGCCGGCGGCAGGAGGACCAAGGAGGGGCCCAGCAGCGCCGCCCGCACGAAGCCCGCGGCGAGATCCGCAGCCTCGATGGAGGCGGCCACCCCCACAGGCGGCAGGCCGCCCTCGATCTGCTCGAACGTAATCCTGCTCGGCGTGGAGACCTCCGAGCCGTCGTAGGCGATGGCCCGGTCCTTCAGCTTCTCGGACCAGTCGAGGGTCCCAGCCATGACGGGCTCGGGCGCGACGCTCGAGTAGATGCGCCGCGCAATCCCAAGAAGAGCCGAGCGCTGGGCCGCATTCGGCTCCGGCCCGCAAACGTCGGCCCACTTCAGGTGGCGGTAGCCGGCCACCCAGTTCATCGTCATCACGAGCACCCTCAAGCGAGACTGCAGCGAGGTCAGGTCGCCTGGGTCAATCATCTCCTCCACGGTGAAATCCGAAGCTTCTAGATCGGGACAGGGTAGCGGGAGCAGATCACGCTGCAGCCGCCCCCGTCTAGTTGGCCGATGCCCGCTGTGCATGAACTTGCCGACGTAGACCCCAAGCGACCCTGGGAACTCTCGCATCAGCTCCTCGAGGATCGGACCCGCATCCAGCGGGCGGCGGAAGGACTCGGCAGCAGCCCCAGCCTTCTCCTGCCACGTGCGGAAGAGCTTCGCCAGGGGGGCGTCCGCGTCTGGCCAAGCCGCCTCCACGCGCGCCGCCTCCCGGCCTGCTGCTAGCGAATCAGCTGGCGGCCCCGGGTCGCCCATGCAGTCAGCACGAGCTCCAGCTGGGCCCAGAGGGCGCGCCTCCTCACGTGCATCATCAGCAGAGCGCACCCGCGCCTCCAGTGCTAGCGGCCCACGCCGCGACCCTTCCAGGGCGCCTGCCGCCCGCGGCCCGGCAGCCCTCCTCTCGGCGCCCGACGCCCGCGGTGCTTGCCCGTGCCCTTCGGGCTGCCGCCCCGCGCCTGGGGGGCCCCCCCGCCGACCTGCACTGCTGGCTGGTCTTGCCGGAAGGCACGGACTTCGGGGGCGTCCAGCAGCTCCACGCGGCCCGGCACCGCCGCGGCCCCATGCAGGGCGGGGGCTGCCCCCGCGGGGCGTCCTCGGCGGGAGCGGCGAGCGGGGGCGCACCCCGGCGTCGGAGGGCGCTCGGAAGGGGGCCTCGAGGCCTCGCGAGCGGCTGCGGGACCCTCCGACCCGCCGGCAGTCTGGCCCGCGGCCGCCGCGGCTCCGCCAGGGCGGGCTCCGCCCCGCCTCATCGCGAAGAACCCCCGGCCGCGGCGAGCGAGATCGACCCCGCGCCCTCGGCTCCGCCCCGGAGAGGGCGCTCGAGGCGGCCCCGCAGCCGCCGCCTCCTCGGGTCAGCGGCGGGGGGGCGCCCCCCTGGCGCGGACCTCCTCCAGCCGCCGCCGCAGCATCGCCGACCTCCGCGCCGACTCCTGCTCGTCGCGGGAGGCGAGCGTCGGGCGGATGCCCTCGACCACCTCCAGCTCGTTGGCGATGTACCAGTTGCCGTCGTTGAGCGCCATCTCCAGTGCCTTGAACCGCTGCATCAGCGTGTCCGCGACCGACGCCAACGAGCCCTCCTCGAGCAGGCCCAGCGCTGCGGCCAGTCTGGAGCTCGCGCACCGTCCGCTCCCCGACCGAGTGGATCGGGTGGTGGCCGAAGACCACCGCCTGGAGATGGCCCCTGGTGCGAGGGCGCACTCTCTGCCCGTCCGCCCCCTCCCGCAGGCCCATCACACGCGCGATCTGGGCATTCGCTTCGTCGTACAGCGCGCCTGGGCGCCCATCGGCCACCGCCTGAATGGCGCTGCCGCGGGAGGGGGCGTCGCGAAAATCCAGCTGGTCGCCAGCGGCCCGCCCCTCGCTGTCGCTGCGCGACTGCTCGCGACGGCGGCGGCGGGACGCGAGCGGGCGGGCTGCAGGGCCGGCCGCCTCCGCAGCAGCAGCAGCAGCTGCTGCTGCTGCCGCGCGGCCAGCCGCGGCCCCGGCAAGGCGGCCCCGCGCGGGCGCAAGGGCGGCGCTGCCCCCCGGGCCGCCGCCGCCTGGCGGTCGGAAGGTCGGCTGGGCCCACGGCTCGACCAAGCTCCGTGCCGACCGCAGCCGCAGCCAGTCGGCGCGCCGCTCGCAGCGCCCGACCAGCCGGGGGGGCCTGCAAGCCGCGGCGCCGCCCGAGCAGAGGTGCAGAACCCCTGGCTGCCCGGCGCCCGGGGCGGGGAAGCTCAGGTCCAGCTCCAGGGCGCGGGCCGGCAGCGAGGCGCCCCGGGAGTTGACGGCGAGATAGACCCCGTCTGGGCCGGGCGCCCCCGCCTCAACGACCTCATACAGCGCCGCGCCGTCCACCTGACCCGTCGGGTCGTGCGCGGGCGTCTCCAGCACCACCCCAGCCGTGGGGGCGCCGTGCTGAAGGGCCGGCGAGCCCATCCAGGGGCCGCCCGCCAGCCGCGCCAGCGCCACCGCGCCGCCTCCAGCGGGCGCCGGCCCCGCAGCGGCCGCCACGCCGCCGCCCCCAGCGCCGGCAGCAGCCGCCCCTGGCAGCGCGAGGGGCCCGGGCGCCGGCGGCGCCCCAGGGGGCGGCCCGCCGCCTGGAGCAGGCAGCGCCGCCAGGGCGCCCACGAGGGCCGCGCCGGGGCCGACCCTGGCGGCAGCGCCGGGCGGGGCCCCAGGCGCGCCGCCAGGCGCGGCGTCCGGCGGGCCCGGCAGCGCCCCAGCCGCGATCCCCAGCGGGAGGGCCCCTGTCAGCAGCGCAGCGCCTCCGCCGCCAGGGGGCACGGCAGCGCCGAGGGGGGGTAGCGCAGCAGGCCCCGCGCCGGGGCCGCCTGCCGCCACTCCCGCGCCCCCTTGGGCGTGCCCTCGGCCGCGGCCGGCCGCTGCAGCACCTCTGCCGCCGCCGCGTCCTCGGCCGCGGGCGCGCCCCCCGCCCCGCGCGACGCCGCGGCCCCGGGCTGCCGCCTTGGCCTTGCCCTTCGCCTTGGCCTCAGCCTTGGGGGCATCCTCCGCCAGCCCAGCCAGCGCCGCCAGGAGCGCCGTCAGGTGCCGCGCCTGCTCCAGCAGCACCGCCCGCTCCCCCGGCGCCACCCGGGCGCGCCAGGCGTGCTGCCGCGCCAACGCCAGGAGGTAGCACAGCTCTGACACCTCCCAGAGCTCGCCGTTCAGGGCGAGCGCCAGGGACTCGCCGGGCCCCAGACGCCCGGAGCACCACCCGCAGTATCGCACGGGCGGTCGCGGAGGCCACTCCCGCGGCGGGCCAGGAGGCGCCGGGGCCGCCTCCTGGATGGGCCCCCAGGCTGGAGGCGGGGGCCCGGCGCCATAATCAGACATGCCCCGCGGGGCCGAGAAAAGCCTGAAAGGCTGAGCCACAACAGCGACTGTCATGCAATCTCTCCCATGGCCATGCCTTACTCCGCTCCCTTGTTCTCCCTCCCCCGACTTATCTACCGCAAACGCTTATATGTGTAAATATAATTATATATATATATATATATATCTTTCTCTCTCTCTCTCTCTCTCTCTTTCCCCCTCTCTCTCTCTCTCTCTCTCTCTTCTCGCTCTTTCTATTTCATATCTCTCTTTCTATTTCTCTCTCTCTCTCTCTCTCTCTCTCTCTATCTCTCTCTCTCTCTCTCTCTCTCTCTCTCTCTCTCTCTCTCTCTCTCTCTCTCTCTCTCTCTCTCTCTCTCTCTCTCTCTCTCTCTCTCTCTCTCTAGTCTCGGCTCGAGAGTGCCCTGCACTCATAGCGTAGCCGCGACGCGAAGCGCCCCGCTCTGGAGTCCCGACTCCAGGCCTCGCGAGACCGGAACCGCGCCAGCAGCGCGGTACTGATTTGCGTCTCCTCACTTCCTCAGTGCGACCGCCGCCATGGCCCCCCTGTCTGCGCCAGGCCGCCACCGCACTTTCACGTCTCACCATGCTGTACTACCTGAGCTGCCTGGCCATGTTACTGAACATAGGCACCAGGACCTTGTCTTCCGCGTGCCCGTCCTGCACGGGCGCGACCTCCCAGTACCACCTGGACACGCCCCACACGTGCCGCGTGCGGATCTTCACGAAGATCTACGTATACTTGGGCATGACGTGTTTCACCTGCGCGCCGAGCTGCGCGCCTACCGAGCCGACCTCCGCGCTCACCTACCAGGCACCGACGCCAACACAGACGACTCCGTCCAGCACCTGCTCACCTCGGTACGGCCAGGTATCCAGGGGGGGGTCGGGCTCCCGACTGCTGAGGGTGACGGTGCTGAGTGCGGTCGGGCTGTTCCCACGCCTGCCGTCGTCGCGCCGTGCGTGACAAGCAGTCGGCCCCCAACCTCCCCCCGAGAGCGCTCCCGCGGCACCGCAGGCACCGCTCTCAACTTCATCGGCATTATCTTGCTGAACTTCGGGTACGGCCTCGGCTCCACCTTCGGCATCGCTCTCGGCACCGTCGGCACGGTCTTGCGTACCATCGGCAAGGGCACCAGGAGCGTCGTCAAGCACATCGTCGACTCCGCCGGCACGGCGGGCCCAGCCCGCCCCACAAGGGCCGTCAAGGTCGGCTACGCGTTCTTCGGCGTCCTCGGCTCCGCCTGCGGCTTCAAGGGCACGGCGGGCCTGGCCCGCCCCAAACGGGCCACCATCTCGGCCGTCGTCATGCTCGTCCTTGCATCGACCTCAGCATCGCCACCAGCACTGCCGACCGCATCGACGCCAGCCTCGACGGGCCTTTCAACATCCTCTGTCCTGACGCCTCGCCCAGGGCCGTTGGCGAGGGTGCTGCCTTCAGGTGCACCTGACGCTAGAGGGGCCGTCCTGTCATGCCATGACCCGTCCGCCTTGCCGACACCAGCGTCTGTGCCTATGGCCCCATCGACGTCAACATCGACGTCAGCATCGTCCTCGGCAGCCTCCACGCCCACGTCCACGACGGACCAAACCCCAGCTCCGCAGACAGCATCGACGCCAGCTCTGACGACGGCACTGCAGTCAGCCTCGACGCCAGCGAGGGGTACGGATTCGGCACCATCCTCGCCCCCTCCCTCACCCCGCCCCGCAGGAGGAGGAGGAGACGACGACGACCACGACGACCTTGACGACGCAGTACCGGCGCCGGCGCCGAGGTCAGCATCGACGCTCCCACCGACGGCAGAAACGACCACAGTTTCGCCGACACCGACGGCAGCATCGACGGCGGCGAGGACGGCTCCGACGGCAGCACCGCTAGCATCGCTAGCACGTCAGCTACGATGGCAGCATCGTTAGCACCGCCGGCTCCGACGTCAGCATCGTTAGCATCGTCGGCTCCGACGGCCGCATCGACGGCAGCGACGACGGCTCCGCCCGCAGTTTCACAGACTCCGACGGCGGCATCGATAGCATCGCCGGCTCCGACGGTAGCATCGACGGCAGCGACGCCACCACTGCCAGCGGCGGCTCCGACGTCAGCATCGACGGCAGCGACGCCAGTACTGCCAGCGACAGCTCCGACGGCCGCAAGAGACGTCAGCACCACAATCAGCCACTCCTGCGCTCCCTGTATGGCCACTCGCTCGGCGGTGCCTTCAGGCCCGCCGAAGCCTGGTGACCTACAGACCTCTCCTCGGCATCATCGTCTCTCAGAGTTGCAGCCAGATTCGACGCCAGCTCCGACGTCCGTATCGAGGCCAGCACCGACGCCAGCCCCTACGACAGCACCGCCAGCGTCAACACCCACGCCTGCGCCTACGCCGGTACCTACG